TCACATGACCTAGGTGTATATGCTACAACTTAGTTTGATTTTGATCACTACTCTCTAACGTTACAATAGCTTTTCCTGAAACAATATTTCCCTGAAGAGTATATAATCTACATTCCAAACTGCCTTTTATAAATACCATTGAGTCATTGCACACTTTAAGAATATCATTATCTGTATGAAACCTGTATCCTTAAGAATCTAGAGTAAAAAGAGACATCAAGTTCCTCTTCATCTGAGGAACATATTAACACTCGATGGTTCTGATAGCTCCATCAGACATTTTTAATCTGATGTCACCAATTTTCCTCTATAATCAATGGACTACTATTGTCTATGTACACAGTATCATTCATCTGTTTGTATGTAGCAAATCGATGTTTGTGTGGACACATATGGAATACAGCACCAGTATTAAGAATTCAAGAATTCTTTCTATGATTAAAACTCATAGTTAAGACTTCTCTAGTACTACTATTATTACTATCATTAGAATTGTTGTCGTCAACTAAATTAGCAGAGTTCTCTTGTTTTTTTTCTTTTTTATTTTTTAACTTGGGACAATATCTCTTAAAGTGACCTTGCCCCTACATTCATAACAGTTTGCTTCCTTAGCTCTAGATTTTGATACTCCTTAACTTATTTCTTCTTTGTGTTCTTCCCTTATTCACCAAACTCTTTCCTTTTGTTTTATACTCTGGGAAGTTCTTTTTCAACTATTTTGATTTTAATGCATTATTGACATCATTAAGTGAAATATTATCCTTCTCATACAATAGAGTGTCAACAAAAGTCTCATATGATAGTGGCAGTGAACACAACATAATTAGAGCCTAATCCTCATTATCAATCTTGATATCTATATTGTTCAAGTCCATAATGATAGAATTAAAAACATTAAGATATTATTGAATGAACGTATTTTAGATAAAGGCAGTTCATTAGCAATCTTGCAGAGTATAATTCTTATAATTTCTTCCATGCAGCTGAAGGAAAAAATTTCCCAGCAATTTTTTGCAGAACGTTATTGGTTATACTCATGAAAATCGCACATAAAGTTTTATCTTGCAGATCTCCCTTTTCTGGCTTTCTCATACCATCTATAAATTTTTTTTCAATTTTCTTCCACAAATCTTGTAATACTAGTGATGATCTCATTCTAATTTTTCATAAACTGAAACTCATTTTACCATCAAAATTTTTAACCTTATATTTTGTGGATATCATCTTCAATCCCTATATTGTGTACCAAAAAATAAATTAATAGAAAGAAATAATACTATTAAAAAAAATCACTCATAGTGAGTCACCATTGCATATAAAACCACTGTACGCAACCATCAGAGCACCCACATATGCCTCCACGTGCTTCTACATGCCTCTACACATGTGGCCGCTGGGGCTGTCACATGTCGCCACAAGCCGTCGCTCGACGCTACCATAAATCACCAAAAAACTACAGAAATCTGCAGCCGTTCTGATCTTGCACAGATTTGTTGAAAACGCATTGAACAACTGTCGAAAATGCCATAAATCGGCCTTGCGTGATCTGGAGTCTGTAGTGTTGGTTTGTCTTCTCCAACTTATTTGCGGCTCCTATCTTTGGCTTTCTAGCCTTAAACTTCATATACCTCGCTGTAAAACTCTTTTGTCCCCTTCGGTCATGCAAATCAAACAAAAATAGAAGGCTCAGTCACACAATTTCCTTTAGCCTGCCGCAATTCCATCTCCATCAAGCCGCGTGCACATGGCCGAAGACCAGGTCTGGATTGGCTGCTCACCAATCGGTAAGCCTTCTTCTGGTTTTTCTAGCTCACCATACGTCTTCTGTCACTGCCGATATTTGAGGGAATGACAAAGGGACTTGGCTGCTGCGATTGTCTTCCTTTGGTTTCCCTAATTTTTGTGTGACTTTCTCTCACAACCAACATGCTTTCTCTCCTTAACCTAGCTCAAACCTGGCTTTGATATCATTTGTTGGAAAAATTAATTCCTAAAATAGGCACAATCACAAAAAAAAAATAGAAAAGAAAACAACACAAGATTTTACGTGGTTCGACAGTATGCCTACATTCACAGACAAAACCGATAAAAAAATATTTCACTATGATCAAAAGAGAGTGCAACACCCATAGATTAGAAAACCTATATATAAGGACGCTTCTATGATTTTTTTAAGTCCCCAGAATACACATAATATTAATCCATAGGATAATTACAAAAATATCTTTAGAATTTAAATCATTAGAATTTAAGTCATATCAACACATCATTAAGAATAATCAAATAAAGGGATCCTCTCTCACCCTATCTCTTCATCATAATAACCAAAACTCTATCAAGAATTATCTATAAAGCTCAAGAGAAAGGGACTCTAAGAGGCATTCAAGTTGCTCAGGTCAGTCCATCTTTTAAGGAAATTCCCTTGTGCTTGAATAATGTGTAAGACAATTTGCGATGACATGTTTAATCTTTTAATGCCATATGGATTCCACAATAGGATCAACTGAGAGATTAGAGTAACTGGGATAGTTTGTACTTCTATGCCCAATTTGCAGCAATATTAACATTCAGTAGTAGGAAAACAAAGAGAGTATGACTAGGTTGATGACAACATTTATAGAACTAAGCATCATATTCTGAGTGGGAGAGCTTGAAAGAAGTATATACAAGAGAAACATTAGATTATGACACTTTATTGAGAATAAGACATGTCTTTTTAAAGTTGATTTCATAAATAACAGAGAAGATGATTTGTATATAACATAGTGGTACAACTTCACATTTTAGTCAAAAGGCCATGAGGAAATGGATAAAATGATAATGATCTTTACTAGTCTTGGCCTAAGATAATTGATTCTTAACAGCTTCGGCTTAAGCTAAAAAATTCATATATATATATATATATTGGTTGAATCCATATTTAAAAATTGTGGAACATAGTCATAATTGATACTAGTGACTAATGCCAATGATTTAGTACTTATGGTCCAGACAATCCTGAATTTCCTTTACACTATCAAAAGTTAATAACTTGAATGTGAATAGAGGGATAAAAGTTTTATAAAACCAAGTGATAATATGGTAAGTTTCTTTTTTCTAATCTTTAAGATGATCTTCATACTCATCATCGTTTTATCTTTCTCATAAAAGAGATTTAAGTATATTTCATGTAATAATAGACAAAAGTTTACACACCATAAGAAAATTTTTAATAACTTGAACCAATAGATTGTAATTAAGACTAGTTAAAATAATAGTAAGATATTCTAAAATTTCAATTTCTATATAAGCAAAATTTGTATAAAGTTCATAATGTCAAAAATAGTAGAAAAGTGAGCTAACATATACTATTAACTTAGCAGTCGAGTGGGTGTGAGGTGGAAACTTGTTGACATTAGTACTAAAGTTAGCAAAATTTCAGGTACTGCGTACAAGTAATGATTTGGATAAAGAGAAATAGCTTAGGGATCAACCTAACACATAAAATTGTGTTTTGTTTATTAGAGGCAAGTAGATAAGGAGTGACGAATCCTATTCTATGTAGTCATTTTCAATTTTAATACGATTAAAAGTATCTAGTAGCTAGTAGCTAGTAGCTAGGATGAGAGATGGTGTGAATGTTGTATTCATGGAGGAGTCTTATTCTAGCTAGGTAATGATAGAGCTTGATGAAGAGGTTAAAGAAATGAACTTTTAGATTTGAAAGCTTCTAAATGCTTAGAAGAGTTGGCAAATAATTGGTGTTTTAGAAGGATGGTGAACTAGAAAAAAATTTATGTAACTATAACACCATATGAAAATTGTATGAAGAAGCTACAACAAATCTAGCTTCAATATATGCAAAAAAAAAAAAAAACAACTTATTTTTTTAAATATATATATAATTATATTAACGATAATTATGAAGATCTTTGTTAACAAAAATAATAAAAAGTTTATATTTAAAAAATTAGAATAAACTAAATTAGAACTTATCTTTGGAGACAACTAGTAAACATAATATTAGCCTGAAAGAGACCTTAAAACTCTTTACATGGTATATTTTAATGAAACGTGGATTTAGATTATGAAATTGGGAATCTAGTCTTTTTCAAGGTATGAAGGGTAGTTAGTTGTAAACTTATCCTTGTCATAATTATAACTTTCATTTTTTCAATGTGAAGAACAATCTCTCCCAATGACTTTCAAAAAGAAATCATCATATCATATTTTATATTTTCTATTATTCAACAATTGTAAATTAAAGTTCATCAAATCCTATTAAGGAGTTTGAAGTAAATAAAAGTATATAAATAAGTACTAATAAAATTGTATAATTGAAATTTAGATGATCTTTTAACAATTAGATTTTAAATCTTAAATTTAAATAAAAAAATCTCTTAAATATATAATATATTAATATATTACGTGTATTATATTAAAAGTATATTTTCATATAATAAATTAATTATTTAGTTTGATAAATTAATTTAGAAATTTAATTTTACAGTTGATCTTTTCGTGCAAACTTGTAATTCTAATGATTGAGGGATTGATTAATAGCTATCATATATATATATATATATATAGAAAAAAAAATGAGAATCACTCATTAAATTAGACTTTATTCTTCATCTTAATAATGAAGATAAAATGTCAAGGGTTGCAGATACTATCACGTGGGCCATTAAATGCAACAACTGCTCTAAAAGAAATCATAATATATATATATACAGCATTCTTAGCCTATTATCATACATAGCATTTTTAGCATATTATCAGATAATATATATATACACGGCATTTTTAGTCGATTAATAGCTCACATATATCACATATAATGTTCTATTGTAATGATTAAATATTTGTATTTTATTTGAAAATTACATATTTAAATTTTATTAAAAAATTAATTTTTTTAATTTTAGAAATGCATGGGCAGTCGTAATTCACATTTAGTTTAATAAAAATAAGAATTTAATTATTAAATTATTGATTGAATTGCGAATTTATGAATGTATTTCTTTAATTAAGAAAGCACAACGTGTTACACGTAATTTTTTTTTTTTTGCATTAAAAATAACAAATAGCCCACGCATATCTTGATTTGACTTCTTGTCTTCCATTACCTACCTCCATGGAAGATGAAATCAGAGCCCCTCTCTGTAAGTTTTCTTTTCTCTATACACACACACATTGGATCCTTTGTTATAAATATTTTCTAGTTAGGTAATCTAACGGTGTGTATGTATATATATATATATATATATATATATACACATATATCTAATTTCTATTTATTGCAGTGGCTGAAAAGAAAAAAGAAGATGCATCTTCATCTTTAGGAAATATTTTCTTGTTTTGACTTGTTGTTTTCCATTCTCTACCTCCATGGAAGACGAAATCAGATCCCCTCTCCGTAAGTTATCTTTTCTCTAGATCCTTGATGATAAATTTTTTCTTGTTAGGTAATATAATGGTATGCGGATATATATAATTTGTATTTATTGCAGTGGCTGAAAATGAAAAAGAAGATGCATCTTCATCTTCATCATCTTCGTCGTCGAAGTCGGAGCTGGAGATTGATCCAGAAGAAAACTCGCCGATCAAGCAAGTAGCGATGACGGTTCCAACCACCGACGAGCCATCGATGCCAGCCCTGACGTTTCGTATGTGGGTATTAGGGAGCCTGTCGTGCGTGGTCCTATCTTTTCTGAACCAGTTCTTCTGGTACCGGAAAGAGCCACTGTCGATCACGGCCATCTCCGCTCAGATTGCGGTGGTTCCTCTTGGCCACCTGATGGCTGCAAAGATAACAAAGCGGGTGTTCTTTAAGGGAAAGCAATGGGAGTTCACGTTGAACCCAGGTCCCTTCAATGTGAAAGAACATGTTCTTATCACCATTTTTGCAAATTCTGGTGCAGGCAGCGTGTACGCAATTCATATAGTTACTGTTATCAAAGTCTTCTATAAACAGCATATCACCTTCTTCGTCTCCCTGATTGTTATCATCACTACACAGGTCAGTTTTACTGATTTAAACATCATCATCATCTGTAATTACAGCTAATATATGTATGTTTGGGATATGAATGGTAGGTGCTGGGGTTTGGTTGGGCCGGGATATTTAGGAGGTACCTGGTGGAACCAGCAGCCATGTGGTGGCCGGCAAATCTTGTGCAAGTATCTTTGTTCAGGTAATAATTAAATTATTTAACCATGCATGGAAATTGTTTTTATTAGGGTAAAAATATAATTAAAATATTATTATTATTATTTTTATATAGTTGATTATGGTAGTTAATAATAAAATCCCTTTTGAGTTGGAGAGTGGGATGATTGATGAAAGTATGTATGTGGGGTCTGTCTCACTATTGTCCAGCTGGCAAGATGCCAATTTCATATTCACTTTCTCAGTAGCCTTCCAAGATTCTAACATGTGAAATTTTCTTACACCATTTATATAACTCATATATCCCATCTTTGTAAATTATCCAAAAAAGTTTGGATGTAACATAATCTTCTTTTCCATACAATTTGAAGCTAATATTACAAATGATTTTTTTATTTTATTTGTTAATTATAAGAAAATATACCTCTTAAACAATTTCAAGCTGAAAATAATATATTTCAATTATTATATTAATTTTACTTCAATTTTTTTGTTTTTAATAATTATTTCAAAAGTTGTATGCGGCCTTGCAGTGCTATGAAAATATTCCATGTGAATAATAAGATTTTAAAAGAATTAAAAAAATGATATGTTTAAACAATTTGGAGACTTCCAATTTTGTTTCAAGTTAATAGCAATCGGTTAAATTTATTTTAAAAAGAAGATGGCTTAATATTTTATTATTATTTTTTACAATTATTATTCATGGTTTTCTATTATTATATTATTTTAAAATATTTAAATTCATTATTATGTTATCTTTTATAATTTTTCAAATTTCTAATTTACATTAATATAGTTAATCAATTTATAAGGTGTTAGTAAACTAATACGTAATTATTTATGATTGGATAAATTTACACCAGTAGATTCCTCCCTCCTCTTCTCCAACCCACATGCCTTGTCCCCTTCCCACCACCGAGAGAGAGAGAGAGTGGTGGGGGCGACTGTACGAGATCAAGGGAGAGGCCAGAAGCGTTGAACATGGATTTGGTGAGAGGAGAGACAAGCCACAGCTGAGCAATGGCACCATTTGGCATGTTCACGGCGGCGTTATGGTGGTCGTGGTTGTCGTAGGATATGTCACCGAGGATTCGTGCACTGCTGCCAGAAATGCTGCTATCGAGAAATCTCCCCAAAACTCATTCAGTAAAAACACTCTTTACCTCTAACTAATACTAATCAAGCAAATAATAACTCAAGATTCTTCTCTTCTCTCTCTGTACTAATCTACAGATAGTCTGTGTGTGTGTGTGTGTGTGTATCTCTCACTCTCGCCGAGTGATTTTGCTTGATGACCCAGATTTTGCCTTTACAAAAAAGTATATTTCCACAAATTAAATAAAAAATTGAGTGAAGGGTATCATATACATTACAAGAAAGAAAATTTTCAGTTGTTTGGATAGAAAGGAAAGAGAGAAAGAGTAGAAAGGGAAACAAAAAACAAAAACAAAAATCCAGAGAGAGGATAGAGATGGAGCTTGAATGGATTAGCTTCTCAAGAAGGCTAAGGAGCTCTCAGTTCATCGACACTTACTCCATTTCCCGCAATGATGATGGAGAGGGGAGTGGACATGTTGGTTGGGAAAGGGGAGGGTTGAGAGGTTGGCAACAAGGACTTTTTTTTTTTTTTTTTTAATTTTATATTTTCAATTTTTTGTTATATAAAAAAATTAAAAATCAAAATTTTAGCATAACAAATTGAAAATAATTAAGTAAGAGGTTGAGAGAAACAAGGACAGATGGATCGCTCAGATCAAAACCTTAAAATGAAGGGTTTAGATCTTTTTTTCTGTTTAAAAGTTAAAGACAGCTGGTGGTCTCAGATGATTCTAGAGACCACCTTCATTTACTCCCCTGCATGTGTATATATTCCCAACACCCACACAATAAATGCTGTAAAAAAATTAAAAACAGCATTAAATATTCTCTACTTACTCGGGTTGGATTTTTACATAGTA